GGAACATTCGATTAGTACGCGGAATGACTCCTGTAGTGGCAAGGACCAGCTCATGTGGTGGCGAAGCTCGTTGAAAAACAAACCAACTACAGTCGTTCTAATAATTTTCTTGTTGCCCTGATACTCAAATTATGGAGTTACTAACACCGGCTACAAACAGCTGTTTTTTGGCACCATAATTAATGACATAGCCGAAATAATTTAAAACGAAATCGTTTTGTATTTCCTGTTGTCAGATTTATGCGGACACGGAACAACGTTGACGCTTCAACGACAAGATCGACATCACCAAATTTTGGCAAGCTGCACGAAATATGGAAGGATCGAACTTTAAGAACAGATACGAAGATCACAATTGTGAAAGCAGTCGCATTCTCGGAGATCGGTTTCCAGGTGTATCGAAACATTTGATGTCCTAAAACACTACGAGTGTAGTGTAGACAATTTTCAACAGGGCTGTGTGCAAAGCATCCTGAAAGTGTCATGGTGCCACGGGGTCACGAAAGAGCAAGCGCTGATGACCAACGGTCTGAGAAAACCAGCAAATGAACCCAAAGACCAGTGCCTGGCTTAGTCTGATGAAACGGTCCAACGGACAAAATAGAAATATATTCAACACACTACTCACCGCTACGCTCTGGAGGACACTGCAAACGTGAGAACACCTCATTTAAACAGATCTGCTTGTGAAGAGAAATATGACCTTTGCCGTAGCAATCAGCGTTGCCTAATATCACTCCGAAATATCATTTCGAACAGTCACACATTTCGAACAGTCACCTGAGTTACTCTCCTGTTCAAGCTGTTAGTCTCAGGTGACGATGACAAAACAACAACAAATAGGTACAGAAAATCATCGCATTTTCAATTTAATTGCAAGCTATTTCAGTCAGGAGGTGGGGGCAGCTGTTTCCTTAGGCTATTTCTGTAATCCTTGTCTTTTGCCACTCAGGGCCAACATAATGCGTTGAAATCCAAAGGTTCGACAATACCAGGAGTTCAATATAATCGAACCACTTGATCAATAGTCTATTTGTTGGTGTCGTCACTGCGAAAGAGAAATATTTAAAAATCTTTTCATGCTTCATTTTGTAAACGGAATTATCTGCCTTAATTACATGTACTGCAAGTCAAATTCGACCAACAATCTGAAAAAGAGAGTCACGTGAACGCTAGTAAGAAACATATGATGATCATATGTTACAAATCAATTTTCAAATAACAGCCTACTTTTTTCGAAATATTCTTCGGGACATTCGCCACCGGCGATCAAGTATTTGCACCACAGGATGCCCGAGTAGTCCGGCTTAAAAAGCGGCATCGTCAAAGTCTTCTTCATCCATGATTTGAGGTCTTTGTCGATGGCCGCCACGCCGGCCACGTCCCCGTTTGCTTCCGCCGACTTTCGGGCGTGGCACAGCTCCTTGATAGTTCCAGCGGTTTCGCGCCATGCACCTCCGCTTTGGTCGTTTACATCCATTCAGTGCTTTCACCTCGACGCTCTCGCCAATTTTCACAACAAGGCGCAACCTCACGCCACGAGAACAATTTGAGCAACAAATATAGTAAAATGCAGCCTCAGCCAGAAACACCTTAAAAGCGGTACTCGTATAAACAGTGAATGAAAACGAGCCAGAAATTTAAATATTCTGCAACTTTCGGTAGCGTCTGCGATGCTGGACAAACAACAATTTACGTATAACTTATAAAATTAGTCAAATAAAAATATGAGCGTTTTTGAATCACGGCTAAATCATAGAAATGCGATACACAAATACCCATTTATATGAATGATGCATTATATCTGCATAAAATTTAAAAATATCAAGCCGACAAACCACGGCGTCATTCATATGCACGCGAAACGACGAATTTCCTTTAAAGAACTCGCTCTCATATGCCACTGCTTACTATCCGCAGGTACGGCTCTGAAACCAATGAATACCATTAAATGCCAAAATAACGGAACTGTACAAACGTTATGCAATATGCCTAAAATACGATCTAATGACATGCGTCGTCGTTCAGTAAGGCAGCTTTAGTGTAAAATCATATTTTCGGATTATTGAAACAATATTAGATGGTAAACGAGATAATCTGGCAGACCGGCATTGACGTGAAAAGAGCCTTGAAGGACAGAACTGAATATCCTCCTACCGAGAATGAGGACATTTTTCGACGGTGGTGAGAGCACAATGATGAACTTTTTAACCGTAGGAAGACCATAGTGCAGCAGGGAATGAATATTAGTTTTCTGTACATGAAATCACACAAGCTGTAACTGAAATGTGAAAGCTCGAAATGTGGAAAAATTGCTGGAATTCATGAAATCCGTTCTGAAATTCTCGAAGCAATAATCGAACAATGCATGCTCTGGCTTACACGTTACAAATTTGATTTCATGGAATATTATTTTCTAGGATGTATTGACCTCAACAAATATGTCTATTCTCTTACACGCATGGTTCAATTAATCGATAAGAAACATTTGAACACGAAATGGACTTCGGATGTCTCAGAATTATCACATGAAATTTGAAATAGATGTTGTCACATTACAAAATAAATTAATCACGGGTAAAATTTATAACACTGCAAATAACGATAATGCAAAAATATGCAAATTCGATGAATATAAGGGATAGACAAGGAAGAACGTCCAATTTAAAAAAAAAATTAGGAAATCAGACAAAATGTTACACGTTACATGAATGTAGAACTGCAATACTACGGGAAAGACAAAAGCGCAAGAGAAAAATGCAGTTGTAGTCCCCCTGTTCGAAAAGGGAGACCAGAGGAAGTGCTCCAATCATCCGGGCATTACTTCTTTGAGCCTCCCTAGTAAAGTATATGCAAATGTGAAAAAGAAGATGCTGAGGAATGTTTGTGTCCAAGATAAAAGAAGAACAGTGTAGCCTCCGACCCGGCTGAAGCATATCTGGCCAGACATTCTGCTAAAAATTGTCAGAGTACACATTAGGTGTACGTGTGTTTTGTAGACCTAGAGAAAGCTTATGACCGAATCCCGAGAAACAGTTTGTGGCTAAGCCTGCGAAAATACGGGATACAGATGATGTGTACATATGATACATAATCACAAACGTTTTCATTCGTCAGTGCATTAAGGTTGTCAAGCAGCGTAAGTTTCTGTAGAGAAAATGTTAAAGACGAAAAATGAGGAATAATCCACAATAAAGCAATTTCTAGCCTTGGCAACCTCAGATATTCCTATGCAAAAATATCCTTCACACTACGGTACAAAGAACCCTAAGCTTAATGAAACGAAAGTGCACTCGATCAATGGCAATAGTAAGAGTTTTATGCAAATCGGCCCATTCTAATCGTACGTATCTTTGAAACCGTGGGGCGCTCGAATGATACTGACTACCGTATAATTTGTTGCGGTGTTGAATAATCGATTACGTTACCAGTTACCATTATTAAAACTTCAATTTATGAGACAGTATTTTAATAATGGTACTTAACAGCCAAGCAAGACCTGCTTCCAATGCAATCAAGCGGCAGTCGTCGATCTCGGTATCAAAGGTTGCACGCTAGGTGCTTGGTTCGAGGCTCATTCGCGGCATAAAGTTTTTTGTTAAAGCTATTTGTCCTCTCTAGTAAAACTTTAAGTGCAATGTGCTTCAATGTAGTTAGAGGAGAAACCCATTCCACGTCGCTTACTCGCGATGAATGGGAAGAGATGACATGGCTCTCCGATAGTGTAGGGTCAAAGAGCAACTGCACAGAGCATACCGCCCTATTATCAAATGCGTCGTCTGATGACTGCAATTTGTATTCATCGAGTTTATAGATGATTAATGAACACAAGACAGAACCTATATACTAGAAGTTAGAATAAATCAAGCTTAATGAGGCTAAGATTATCATTTGTGAACTGATTACAGCTTTTATTTACTATTGATCTACTAGCGATATCTGCTGAAACTTGACATTTGATCTAATGGATGAATGATATTTTGCGTATTTTTCTCGAGAATTATTTCGACGCTGATCAGTAATTAATCAGTAATCAGTAATCAAACTAGTAATCAGTAATCAGTAATCAGTAACTAGTAATCACAAATCAGTAATCAGTAATCAGTAATCAGTAATCAAACTAACATTCTGCATGGCTGGGATACTTGAATGAAAGCCTGTCATTTTAATGGAAGTAAGATCTTTGCCACAACTGATGCGGGTTGTTACCGCGTTAATAGGCTATCGTTTGCAGAGAAAACCTATGATTTTTAACCGTACGCACAGAGAATGAACCCTACCTTGAAGTAGAATCGTTTATCGGCTAAAATGATTCAGCAAAACGCAGTCCTTTATGATATTGCGAATAGGATACAATTAAATAATCATGGTGATTAAACGATATGGCCTAAGTGTCTTGATTTTCAGTAAAACAGAAAAGTATACTTACAGTAAAGCATTCATTAGAGCCGTGGCAAAGCTGTCGTAACTGTTTCTAAACCACAGTCATGTACATTGCAAGAGAACCAGTCTTGGGATGGTGCTAAGGTGCGTGATTCTGTATTCAGAAATCATAACTTGTAACTAATCCGCTTCGTCACTTGGACTAGCCGGTGATGGACGAAGAACCGCGTTGGCACTCCCGCCATTCCTCACGGTTTTGAGCAAACAGCTCGCTACGATACGAAACTGCTATATAAAACCGGGGACTTCACGAACCACTTAAAATGCAGAATAACGCACACAGAACACATGAGGTAATGACAGATGTCGACAACGTGAAACTGACACAGATCATGATAT